AGGCTCTTCTAGAAACTCTTACTGAACATAAGAACACATCAACACTATGATAAGCCTGAGAGATGCTTTGTGTGTGTGTGCGTGTGCACGTGCGAGTGTGAGAGTGAGTGTGTGTGAGTGAGTGAGTGTGTGTGTGTGCGTGTTGTGTGTCTGTGTCTGTGTGTGTCTCCAGACTGGAAAAGGGAAATTGAGCGCTGTCTGGATCTAATAGGTGGGAAAATGTTAAGTTCCAGAGAAATGGACTTCAGATTTAAGTGAGAATGGAAATTGATCCTATTAGTGTGTGCTGAAGCCTTTAACTCCTTCCAGAGAGAGACAGAGATCTTCTGATTTCATTCACTGCTGCCCTTTAGAAGCGACTTAAAGTATTCACATGTTTTCCAGAAGACAACATGACAATTTACCTCCATCATCCTGTTCAAACATTTCCATCTTCTTGGTTCTTCATGTCTGGATCATCATCACAGTCTGAAGAATCAAGCTCATGCAAACATTTAAACCGGGTCATTTGTGTAAATTCAGCTATTATTTTATGCAAACATCTGTTATGTCAAATAGATTACCGTATTTTCCAGAAAATTAGTCACAACTGACTATAAGTTGCACTGGGTCAAAATTGCTAAATTGTTGAGACGAAAAAACAGTTAAAGTTTATGTCACATTTTATTATTACATTTAGAAATAATCTAAAATACCGAATAAATTAAAAAAAAAACTTTACTAACAATAAAAATACGTTAAATGTGTTTCAGTTCCTCACTTTACAACAAATCCTTTAAACTTAACGGTATTCAGAAGTATAAAACAAAGAAATTATAGTTGCATTCATCATGAACAATATTTATTATAAACACCAAGCATAAACAAATTTATTTAAAGTGAAACTGTAAATGTGGGAAATGCACTTTAATATGAAATATAAGTTGAAATATAAGTGTTTCTTAAAATACAGCATTCAGGACAGTACTAAAAAATTTTTTAAAAAACAAGCAATTTTTAAGATGCTTCTTATTTTGTTTTTATATTATTTTTATTTTGCATATTCTTCAAGGTGCATTTATTTAGCAGGCTCTTTCATCCAAAGCAACTTACAAAAGAGGAACTAAAGCAGTTGGTCAGTTGTTATGAGCACACGCGTGTGTGTGTGTGTGTGTGTGTGTGTGTTTGATATGCATTGAGCAGATGTTGATCCGATGTCTCTGGACTGTTCTGTGATGCTCGTCTTATTTCTGCTGTATTAGATGGCGTCTGAGATGCTTTCTTTCATCTGCTCTTCTGCTCTGATTGCTGCTTTGATCCTGGAGGATGATAGGAGCCGCTCTCGTGTTTCCAGACCCGCAGAAACGGGATCAGGGTTCTGATTCCAGTCCATGAGCCACACAATCAGAAATCAGTTCATGTGTGTCTGTTTAAAGGGACAGTTCACCCGTAATCATCACTCGGTCTTCATTCACTCCAAACCTCTGACTGTGACTGACTGACTTTGTACATAAACACAATGAATCTTCACACAGCTCTTACAACAGTGAATAAAAAACGCCATAACGATGCACAACAACATCTGTTCTTCACAAATCTTCATTTGACTTCAGATGGACTTGGAATGTAGAGCACAAATCATAATTCTGACTTTCCCCCCACAATTGCGAGCTTTAATCTCGCAATTCTGAATTCTGAATCGATGGCAAGAAAAATAGTCAGATTTGTGAGGTATAAACTCAGAATTGCATGAAAAAATAAATACAATTGTGATATATATAAACTCAGAAATACAAGGAAAAAATTAAATTGTGAGATATAAACTCAGAATTGCAAGAAAAAAGATAAAATTGTGATATATAAACTCAGAATTACAAGAAAAAATAAAATTGTGAGATATAAACTCAGAATTACAAGAAAAAAGATAAAATTGTGAGATATAAACTCAGAATTGCAAGAAAAAAGATAAAATTGTGATATATAAACTCAGAATTACAAGAAAAAATAAAATTGTGAGATATAAACTCAGAATTACAAGAAAAAAGATAAAATTGTGAGATATAAACTCAGAATTGCAAGAAAAAAGATAAAATTGTGATATATAAACTCAGAATTACAAGAAAAAATAAAATTGTGAGATATAAACTCAGAATTACAAGAAAAAAAATAAAATTGAGATATAAACTCAGAATTACAAGAAAAAATTAAATTGTCAGATATAAACTCAGAATTACAAGAAAAAAATAAAATAAAATTGTGAGATATAAACTCAGAATTGCAAGAAAAAAAATAAAATTGTGATATATAAACGCAGAATTACAAGAAAAACATTTAATTGTGAGATATAAACTCAGAATTGCAAGAAAAAAAATAAAATTGTCAGATATAAACTCAGAATCGCAAGAAAAAAAATAAAATTGTGAGATATAAACTCAGAATTGCAAGAAAAAATAAATAAAATTGTCAGATATAAACTCAGAATTACAAGAAAAATAAAATAAAATTGTGGGATATAAACTCAGAATTACAAGAAACAAAATGGTCAGATATAAACTCAGAATTACAAGAAAAAAATTAAATAAAATTGTGAGATATAAAATCAGAATTGCAAGAAAAAACATTTAATTGTGAGATATAAACTCAGAATTGCAAGAAAAAAAATAAAATTGTGAGATATAAACTCAGAATTACAAGAAACAAAATGGTCAGATATAAACTCAGAATTACAAGAAAAAAATAAAATTGTGAGATATAAACTCAGAATTGCAAGAAAAAAAATAAAATTGTGAGATATAAACTCAGAATTACAAGAAAAAATTCAAATTGTGAGATATAAACTCAGAATTACAAGGAAAAAGTCAAATTGAGACAAACTCAATAATATAAATGTAAAATAAATAAAAATAAATGCTATGATGTCTTCATAGTGATTTTGCTCTCTGGATCTCCACATACAGTACATGATCACTACAAACTGCTGTATTGTTGCGTCTTTTTGTGTTTCACAGTCCAATAATGTAAGAAATCAAATAATATCATAAGGGTTTGGAATGACATGAGCTTGAGTAAATGATGACAATGTTTAGTTTTGGTTTCTATAAATGTAATGTGAATATACATGAAGTGTTTAGGTCTCAAAGCAGATATGATGTGGTTTGAGATTCTCACCCAAATGAAGATGTTTTCCTAAACAGGCCTGTGGCTGATCTCGCGTGTTGTTGGGAAGGTTTTGTGTCGGTGTGGGCTGTTGTATTGATAATGCTTCTGGCCTTGAAGCATTTCTGTAGTGTATTTTTGACATTCTGCTTTTGTAAATGCTTGGTGTTTTTCATTGTTGTCTCTCTCAGAGCCCATGCACGGACTGCGGCAGCTGAAAGTGGTGGACATCAAGGCTCGTCAGGTGACGCTTCGCTGGGAGCCGTTCGGATACAACGTGACGCGCTGCCACAACTACAGCCTGACGGTGCAGTACCGCGCCAGAGGAGGAGGCAAGGAGGAGAGCAGGGAGGTGGCGTTATATGACAGCCGGAGCTCCACCCCCCAGCACACCATCCACAACCTCACGCCCTTCACCAACCTCAGCGTCAGGATGCTGCTGCGCAACCGCGAGGGAGTCAGAGAGAGTCCTGAGATCCACGTCCAGACCGATGAAGACGGTGAGAGAGAGCGGAAACTTGGCAAACATCTTTACCAAATATAGATTTATTTATTAAAATATGAAATATTTCAAAAATAAGTACATATATATATATATATATATATATATGGGTTTGGCTTATTGTAATATACTGATTTGGTGAATATAAACAATTAAAAAACTAAACATTTTTGTTATTTGAAATAAAATAAATATTAACTGAAATAAAATAAAATGTAATAAAATTAAATTAAATTAAATTAAATTAAATCAACATTTTATTTAAGCTAGTTGCAAGGCAATATTTCTCATTTTAATATGGTTTAACTAGATGTTCTTAAATAACTAAAACTGTATATAAAACAGTTATTGTATGTAATATATAATATAATATATGTAATACAATTAATAAACACTATATAGACATTAGGGGTGTAACGGTTCACAAAATTCACGGTTCGGTTCGATAGGACACAGTGGTGTCACGGTTCGGTACGTTTTCGATCCGGATGGGGGGGGCGGTGATTGGTTATGTCGCAATGTTGGAAATATTTCTGTTTTAAACCATGAAGGCGAGCCAATGGATATCACACACAAGCAACGTGCAAACTTTGTGCAAGAGTCATGCCGGTGAACGTCTTAATGTCAGTCAATTCACTATATGCAGAAAGTGAAAGTAAAAAAGGAATGACGGAGTAATGACGGAGCTTTCAGCATCTGACGCCGCATATTCTCTCAGAGACGACGAGACGAATCTACTTCAACATATGCTGATAACGGTACATAGCTAACTATTTCTAATACTACATAGTGAAAAAAAAATGAGAAGAGACATATTTCGTTTTAAACAGGTTGTTTTTGAAAGTCGGTGCTTGAAATAAAAGCTTTTTATTACATTGATTTTTATTGATGACTGGAGTGTTAATATTTTAATCATAGGCCTATATTTTATTGTATTGACCTGTTTTAAAATACCTTTTTTTAAAACATTTTAATCGAGGAGAAATATATAGCCTAATCTTTTGTTATCGCAGCACATCAGTTATTTGGTAATTATTGCGGGGCAAATTAATTGTAATTTTAATTTAATAATAAAAGTAACTTCATAACAATATCTTTTGTTATCGCAGCACATCAGTTATTTGGTAATTATTGCGGGGCAAATTAATTGTAATTTTAATTTAATAATAAAAGTAACTTCATAAAAATAATAATAGGCCTAATAAAAATAAGAATGTAACATGCCTACATTAATTGGATGTAGCCAATAATTGACAATATCTCTGGATATCGTCGATACAAGATTGTCGTCTTTAGACGCATCCCAGCAAGAGGAGGTTATCGCGGGGCAGACAGCACGTTGCCTGTTACGTCGTTTAGGCTCCTTGTTGAGCGCAGTGGCACTGAGAACATTATATTTCACACACTTTAAGCTGTTTTATTTTCCAAATGTAATAGGATAAGTCCAACGAATCATTCGGTTTGTAATGCGCACCGAACCGAAAGCCTCGTACCAAACGGTTCAATACGAATACGTGTATCGTTACACCGCTAATAGACGTAAAAAAACAAAAAATGTCAAATACACGCAAAAAAAAAAAAGAATAAAAATTTAAAACTAAACCTGAAATAAACTTAAAACTATATAGACATAAAAATCTACTAAAAATTACAGACACAACAAAGGTTTAAATTAAAATATAACAATAACACTGATATACATATTACTTGCATACATACATTATATATACATTAGTTTTACTCTAAAAAGTATATATATTTTTAGTCTATATATTCCAAATAAATACATTCGTAAATAATTGTATGTATAATTTTTGGGACTTTTTTAAAAATAAATTGTATATATTTATGTAATTAGAGTTTTTTTTTAAATGTGAATTATAAGGAAAAAGACCCATTTACCCATTTTTATCAGCTTTCTGTTCTCTAGTTATTTAGATAAGCCTCTACGTCCCAAAAACCACTGATCTGAAGATCCTCTGAAACATCAGGACATCATTTTATTGACTTTATTAATCCACAGAGAACCATATAGCACCTCAATAACCTGAAACAGATACAAAAGGTTGTTGATCAGAATCTGAAGAACCGTTAAGTTCATCCTCAGCACTGTAATGTGTCTGTATACAGATGAAGAGTTCGTTCTATCCGTGAACGAGCTGCTCAAACGCTCCACTGCATCTTTCGTAAATCGCTGACATTTAGCTTGAATGTCTAATTACGTCCCCCATTAGCAGAGCTCTTCTGACGGAATAAACGTGATTTTTTTTTGTTTGTTTCCAAAGATCGGCAAACTTTATAAATAATTAGACACCTGGGCCGCTTCTCGACTGGATGTTAAACACACACGCGCTCTTTTGTTCTCGCTCCGAGTCTGTGTCAAGTGAGACAGACGTGAATAACGTTCCTGCGAGAGGATGAAACGATAAACAAACGAGAAATAATCTCCCGAACGCTCACGGACATGTTTGGAGGAGGAGAACGTGAGCATCTGAGGGGATTGTGTGCATTTCTGTGGATTTAAGGATTCAAAACCAACATTTGTTCTCATTTTAGTAATAAAACACCTTCACTTATTAATACCAATGGAAAATATTGAACTTTTCAGTATGAACCGGTCACTTTGAGACATTTTAGCTGCCGAACATTCATTTAACGTTTGTTAAATCTAACTAAATAGTACAGCTACGGAGAATGTCGTATGTATATTAAGAGCAGCTGCTGTTGCTGTGTTTTGATCGTTTGTGATGTCACTTCCTGTCAGTGCCGGGGGAAGTTCCTCTGGATTCGATCCAAGCCAGTGTGTATGAGGACAAGATCCTGCTGAAGTGGAGAGAACCGGCGCAGACCTTCGGCATCATCACTCAGTATGAGGTGAACACACACACACACACACACACACACAAACACACATCATTCTACGTTAATGTTCCTCAGCCAGCCTAGCAACCCCCTAGTAACCACACCAATGCCCTAGCAACCTCCTAGTACTGCCCAGAACACTCTAGCAACCCCATAGTAACCACAAAAATGCCCAGGAACCTCCTAGCAACCACACAATTTGCCTTAGCAACCACCTAGCAACCCCCTAGTAACACCAAAAATGCCAAGCAACCTCTTGGCAATCACCCAAAACACTCTAGCAACCCCCTAGTAACCACAAAATACTCAGCAACCTTCTAGTAACCACACAATTTGCCCTAGCAACCACCTAGCAACCCCCTAGTAACCCCAAAAATGCCCAGCAACCTCCTAGTAACCACAAAAATTGCCTATGCATACATCTAGCAACCTCCTGGTAACCACCCAGAACACTCTTGCAACCTCCTAGTAACCACACAAAATGCCCTGGCAACACCATGGCAACCACCCACAACACCTCAGTCCAGCAGTGGTGAGTTTTGCACTTGCAAATGTTTTAAACATCAGAAAATTCATTTTTAGTAAATGAGTTTCAGTTGTTTCAGAGGTTTAGGATTCAGCTTTTCTTCACGGTTTTGAGCATCTTGACTGTGACAGGTTATCTCATAGTTAACCGTTACTAGAGAAACTGGCTAGAGAAATTAGTTGTTCCATCAGTCCAGAAAAAAACAAGAACTGTCAAAGTCCAGCTCTTCCCAATGTGAGTGTGAGAGAATGTGTGTGTGTGTGTGTGTGTGTGTGTGTGTGTGTGTGTGTGTGTGAGAGAGTGTGTGTGTGCGTGAGAGTGAGTGAGTGTGTGTGCGTGAGAGTGAGTGAGTGTGTGTGGTGTGTGTGTGTGAGTGTGAGTGTGTGTGTGTGTGCTCTACAGATCGTGCAGTCAGACGGGACTAACCGTAGACTCAATTGTCCGTGAGCTCGCAGTGACGTCCTGCCTTTGATTTGACAGTATCAAAGAGCTGAAGCTGAGACTCTCTGACGGGCCGTGATATCAAAAGGACAGTTTGGACTTTTTTCCTCTTATCAAGGGAACCCTGATCCTTCCTCTCCTTCCTCTCTCTCGCTCTGATTCCAGACATTCTGTTCTTCTTGTAAATTTCCAGTGAGATTTCCCGTCCTCAGATTCTCTGTTCCTGACCGATCCACTGCAGTAACGTTGTTTGCGCTGGATGACGTCAGTCGGATGTTCACACATCCCCGGTTTCTCGTTTTAGAGTGGGTCAATAATTTAAATCTAATAGCAATGTGAGGTTATGAAAAACAGCAGCTCTTGATAGAAAATCTCGATATCAAAGGTCGCAAATCAAAGTGTGTCGAGTACAATGCTTCATTAATGCCGCTCATCTTCAGCATAATGAACAAACCCCTCCAAATATGAGGAGAAGACACTTTCCCTTTCAGATTCCTGCCCTGATCCGTCAGAAGCGCAGACGTTATTATTGATTTATTTATTTATTTATGGCGGGCTGATAATTGAAAAGGGCCTTGAAGCATTTTGGATATAATGGAGTCTAATTTGGTGGAACTCAAAGGACTTCTTGAATCATTTGTTTGGGCGACACTGAAATTCATTTGTGTGATTCTAACATAAATGTTGATGTTTGTGTAATTCTCATTTCTGCAGATCTCGTATAAAGCCGTCAGCTCCTTCGACCCAGTGCTGGATCTCTCTAACCAGAGCGGTAAGGTGGTTAAACTGGGGAATGAAACCAGCCATGTGTTTCTGGGTCTCTACCCCGGCTCCACGTACTCCTTCACCATCAGAGCCAGCACCGCCAAGGGCTTCGGACCGCCCGCCATCACCCAGGCCACCACCAAGATCTCAGGTGTGTGTCTGCAGCAGATGCTTCAATCTGAAACAGCATAGAAGAATGTGAAGTAACTCAGTGGGCATGCAAATGGCCCTAGCAACCACCTGGCAACCTCCTAGTTACCACCCAGAACACTCTAGTCCAGCAACCACTTAGGAACCTCTTAGTAAACACACAAAATACCCTAGCAACCACCTGGCAACCTTCTAGTAACCACCAAGAACACCCTAGGAACAACCTAATTGCCCTAGCAACCCCCTAGTTACCACACAGAACACTCTAGCCCAGAAAATACTTAGGAATCTCTTAGTGAACACATAAATACCCTAGCAACCACCTGGCAACCTCCTAGTAACCACACAGAATTCCCTAGGAACAACCTGAGTGCCCTAGTAACCACTTTACAACCCCCTAGTTACCACCCAGAACACTCTAGACCAGCAACAACTTAGGAACCTCTTAGTGAACACACAAAATACCCTAGCAACCACCTGGCAACCACCTAGTGACCACACAGAATGCCCTAGGAACAACCTAAGTGCCATAGTAACCACTTAGCAACCCCTAGTTACCACCCAGAACACTCTAGACCAGCAACCACTTAGGAACCTTTTAGTGAACACATAAAATACCCTAGCAACCACCTGGCAACCTCCTAGTAACCACACAGAATGCCCTAGGAACAACCTAAGTGCAATAGAAACCACCTAGCAACCCCCTAGTTACCACCCAGAACACTCTAGACCAGCAACCACTTAGGAACCTCTTAGTGAACACATAAAATACCCTAGCAACCACCTGGCAACCTCCTAGTAACCACACAGAATGCCCTAGGAACAACCTAAGTGCAATAGAAACCACCTAGCAACCCCCTAGTTACCACCCAGAACACTCTAGACCAGCAACCACTTAGGAACCTCTTAGTGAACACACAAAATACCCTGGCAACCACCTGGCAACCACCTAGTAACCACACAGAATGCCCTAGGAACAGCCTAAGTGGCATAGTAACCACCTAGCAACCCCCTAGTTACCACCCAGAACACTCTAGACCAGCAACCACTTAGGAACCTCTTAGTGAACACATAAAATGCCATAGTAACCACCTGGCAACCTCCTAGTAACCACACAGAATGCCCTAGGAACAACCTGAGTGCCCTAGTAACCACTTAGCAACCCCCTAGTTACCACCCAGAACACTCTATACCAGCAACCACTTAGGAACCTCTTAGTGAACACACAAAATACCCTAGCAACCACCTAGTAACCACACAGAATGCCCTAGGAACAACCTAAGTGCCATAGTAACCACCTAGCAACCCCCTAGTTACCACCCAGAACACTCTAGACCAGCAACTACTTAGGAACCTCTTAGTAAACACACAAAATACCCTGGCAACATCCTAGTAACCACGAAGAACACCCAAGGAACAACCTAATTGCCCTAGCAACCTCCTAGTAACCACCCAGTGCACACTAGCAACCTCCTAGTGACCAAAAATGTTCTAGCAACCTCCTAATAACCATCTAGAACACTCTAGTCCAGCAGCCACTTAGTAACATCATAGTAACTGCCCAGATCACCCTAGGAACCTCTTAGTTACCACACAAAATGCCATATCAACTATCTAGCATCCACCCAGAACAACATAGCAACCTCTTAGTAACCAAAAATGCCCTAGCAACCTCCTAGTAACCATCCAGAACACTCTAGCCCAGCAAATATTTTGTAACCTCATAGTAACTGCTCAGAAACCCCTGCAACTTCTTATTAACCACACAAAATGTCCTAGCAATCACCTGGCAACCTCCTAGTAACCAACCAGAACACTCTAGGCCAGTAACACCTTAGTAACCTCATAGTAACTGCCCAGAACACCCTGGCAACCTCTTAGTAACCCCACAAAATGCCCTAGCGATCTCCTAGTAACTACCCAGAACACCCTAGCAACAACCTAACTGTTCTTTCAACCATCTAGCAACCTCCTAATAACCATGCAGAACACTCTAGCCCAGCAACCACTTAGTAACCTCATAGTAACCACGCAAAATACCCTAGCAACGACCTGGCAACCTCCCAGTAAATTATCTCCTATTAAAATGATCATTTTTTACAAGTATTGAAACTTTTATGATGCAAAAACCCTCCAGAAACATAAAATAAAGATCTGAAAATGCAATTCATGACTTCCATTATACCTTTTTTGCTGTTTTAAAAAAATATCCTATCATTTACATCATCCATGTATTTCATTACTGAATGTGACAAAACGAGAAACATTAATGCAGCCATTTTTGGCGTATTTGACATAAGATTAACCATTAGACCCAAAATTACTTTACGTAAATATGTGAATGCAAACTTGTTTATTGACATTTGGGGGAAACTCCATCACGTCTGCGTTTGTGCACTTGTGTCATGACTGTAGGGATTTCAGAGGCGTTGAGTTAGTGTTTTAAAGCTTCCTGGTGTGTTTCCAGCTCCGTCGATGCCGGCGTATGATCAGGAGACTCCTCTGAACCAGACTGACAGCACGGTTACGGTGGTGCTGAAACCCGCTCAGAGCCGAGGCGCTCCTGTCAGGTATGATTACACTCAGCTCTTCTGCTCTCAATAGCAGTGGATCTTGTGATTCTCCATGCCCATCCTGATAGCATGTGAATGCAAACAGAAGCAAACACAAGCACGAGTGACAGCCGCAGGAAGTCTCCATCTGTTCTCGTCATGACTCCATTCAACTCACAGCTCCAGAGTTTCTCTGCACCTCTGCTTCAGCTGGCTGTTTTTATCATTTTTTCCTCCTGTATTGTTTGTGGATTCCTCCGAGTGAGCGTCGTTCTTTGAAGCGGAGAACAAAGTGTGTGTGAGTCTTCTGAGCCTCGTCCCTGAACCGCTTTCATGTGTTTCTGAC